ACGGAAATCTTTGAATTCTCCGCCCCGGTATAACAACATTTTGGGCACGTCAGCAGCATTTGGCGCACTATGAAAGTGGAACTATATATAGTTGGATATAGTTTGAAATAGATGCGACACTAGTTCGACTTTCATATGTGCGTTTATATTTATATATATACTATGTATAGTAATCTAATCATGAGCTACAATATTGCAGTTATGTAATGCAGTTTGAATTGATATTTGCGCTTAGCAATCAATTAAAAATGCACACATTGACCGATTCGATGAACTCTACATTATTAAAAGTAAAGTGTATGGTGTATACCTCAATGGGTTGCTGTTCCGATATGAATTCAACATCCTTGTTCATGTCCGTCACATCATTGTGGCTCATGCCCATACCCATGCCAACGCCCGGCGGCAAGCCACCTGTGCCCTAAAATGAGCAGAAAGGAAATACCCTAGTACCAGAGATTATGATGAGTAAATGAGCGCACTTACCTTGAGAACATTCTGCAAATGTTGCTGCAGGGCATCCTGGTCCTGGTAGCGATGCCTTTGATTCTCCTCTTGTTGCTTGAACTTTTGAAAGTTTTGCAGCGTTTGCAGTTGGCGTAAGACATTGGGATCGTTGAGCAGCTGCTTCAAATTATTGTTCTGCGAAATTAGATGCTATTATTAGCATGCATTTAAGTAATTGTCAATAATAAATAAATAAACCCAAGAAAATTAAAGCCTCAACACAAAAGCTAATACGATAAATAACGAATAGACCTATGCATACATCTAGCAAATTGGAAGAGCCGGGCGGCGTATCATCGCCCATACAATGATGATCGTCGCCCATCAGCATGTCCCCATCCTCGTCATCGATTATCTCACGCAGATCGTAGTCAAGCTCATGGGAGCTGCTACCTTTGCCATATTTGTTGTGATGGTGCGACTTGCTTAGTCCCCCACTATCGAAACGGCTCTTCGAACCAGATGCCGAATTGCTGCATGGCATATTGTGTTGATGCTGCTGCTGCTGTTGCTGGCGCTTCATATAATGCTGTTCCATATGACGTCGACTAGAGCTTGAGCACTTGTCATGACTTAGCTGTGTAGTTGCGTACATTAGGCAAGTGAGCAAGACATGTATCAGAGAGTGAATAGAGCAAATAGTGATAGTACCATAAAGCAATGCCATTGGCTTATTAGAATCGAAAGACAAACCACATTACTCGCCCATAGCCTGGCAATGAGTATAGCTGCCCATAGTGGGTTGACTAACTACTACATCATATTGTTATTGGACCTAATTCATTGCCAGTCTTTGTTCTCTTCAATCACCCATTGTCGACTCACCGACAGATCCGGCATTGCACCACCCGTTTTATCGTCGACAGCACCACTCATATCCATATTGCTCATTCCCGAGGCATTCAAACCATTGGCTGCATTGCCACTGGAAATATCCGAGAGATTTAGAACGCCGCTGCTGCCACTTGGCCCAGAGCTCGCGTTGAGATTGCCGGCGCCGATTGGTGGCATTTGATGGTAAATCGGATGGTTCGGATCAGCCAAATCAAATATTGGCTGTATTACTTCCGATTTGAAGACGTTGTTCTTCTGCCAAAGGTTCAGCACGCGAATGATGCGACTCTTGTCCTCGGGCGCGCAACGAAACAGATTAGCAAACGTTTCGGTCAGATTGCGTTGGAAGCGGGGCGCGAATACATCCTTCTCGGTGCCATATTGATGACGCGATTGACGCACTATTGAGTCTATGACATACAGGCCCGGCACTTTGTACTCCGGCTTGCATTTGAGTATAAACTTTTCAACACTCTGCACGACATGCTTGTAGAATTTAATTGCACGCATTGCCGACTTTGTGATGGCGGCCATTTTAGCCTTCGATATGGGCGGTCGGCTATCATAGAGCCCGGAGAGCTGAAAGAAAACATACACATTTAGAGCACAAGGCACAATGAGCGAAAAGGGATTATTTTCTGTTGGTATGGGCAGAACGGCAGGACGCGAAGCTGCATGTTTGTTGGCAACAATATTGAATTTACATATGTATATACACACATGTAAGTTTGGGGAATATAATTGTACAAATTACACAACTACATAAGGCGTACATGAGACATGTATGTAAATACCGAGTGGTTTATATGAGCAAATATAAATATGTATGTACATTTTGATCTGTACATGTGTGTGTGCGGCGGCGGCCTCATCTTACCTCATTATTGAAAGCGACGACCGTCTCCATGATTATTTCAATGCTCACACACTACACGCACGCACAATATTCAAATTCGCATACTATTTTAGTATATATGATCCTTATAAATTATTTTCTTGCCAGTTTAACAACTTTTTACTTCAATTTTCACAATTTTTTCGCAAGAAAGCGTGAAAAAATGGCTGCCGATAGTAGGGATGCTTATTTCGTATATCAGCTCATCGATACAAAACATACATAATTTGATACATTGATTCATCAAGGAAAACAATCGAATGATTACTTAGATTGTTTATCGAATACATAAACAAATCTACAATATTCGACTATGAGATGATATTATTATATACATTTGATTTGTAATAGGCTGATGATATTATTAAAAGATTTTGATCTTAATTGCAAGACCTTGGCGTTGCCGGACTGAGAAGAATGCAGCAATATGACGGGCATACCACGCATTAATGCATTTTGCTGATAACCGCAATGGTCACACTGGAAAGAAAGCAAAACGAAAACATAAGCTGCTACAAATTGAATAAAATTAATGCTGAATAGCAATTAACAAATAATGAGCGCCCATCATAGGCCACTTGACGAGTCAGATGTTATGCTAATACGCACGATACGTTCAACACCATCGTTGTACGACCACAGACATGGCGACTTTCGTCTATCGCAAAGAAAGGAAGAGGATTGGGCCAAAGTGGCCAAGACCCTTAATATTTCTTCGCCCGACGCGCGACGCAGATGGACGTGTCTGCGGGATCGTTATTCGCGCGAGTTAAAACAAATGCGTTTACATCCGTCCTCGGAATTTGGTCGAAATGAATTCTTCAGGCAAATGGACTTTTTGCGGGAGTTTGTGCGGAAGCGTCGTGAGAGAAGACGCCGTGAAGATGATGATACGCCAACAAATTGGCTGAAAGCTGAGGTACGAGCAGTAAAATCAAAATCGCGCCCGGAGCCAGACACACTTATTGAACAGGACTTAGATGAGTCGCAGGTGTACGACGATTGTGACCACAACTACGACGTGGATGCCAAGCTGGAGGTGCAGACGACACAATCGGAAAGTTACTCTGTGCTCGTGGAAGCGGACGATGGAGATGGACATGAATCATATGAGGAGTATATGGGCGATTCCGAGTCGGCCGAACAAAAAGTCTTGCCCCCGTTGCAACCATCGCCATCGCTGGTCACAGTCCACAACGATACACCGACAGCGGGAAATGTGTCCACGTCTGGTGCCTCGCCGTCCGAAGCTGGACATTCGCAGACGGACATTGGATTTATGGTCTGTATGCCGAACATGCGAGTTGAAGCGGAGCAGTTGGCACCCATTAAGCCCGAGGCATCGCCTGGCTTTGAGGCAGTAACTGCACCAGCCTCTGCCGCCACTAGCGTGTCCAACGAAACCGAAGACGATTACTTCTGCAAATCCGTGGCAGCTTATTTGCGGCAATTGTCGCGTCGTCATAAGATTAAGGCAAAAGTGGAAATGTACCAGATTCTGGAGAAGTACATATTGCTTGAGGAGTCCACGACAGGGACACCTGGGCCAAGTCAGAATGATTAAGCAGGAATACTACATAGCGACATATATGTACATATAGTTTTTAAATAGATTTTTATGAAGTACAAATATACAACTGACAAAAATCAATTTTATCTTAAGCTTAATATCTAAATCTGTATTTGTTATAATGCGCACACGGCGATCAGCAGAAATCCTCATTGATTATATCCGCATTGACCGCTAGGCCGCGTTCTTTAAGTGCTTTCGAGACGAGTCGATGCTTCTCCTGTCGTTGCTCCTGCTCACGTCGCTGTGCATCCAAAATCTCATCGACAGAAATCTCCTTTAATGGAAGTTTCTGTTCCTTTTCACGATCCTGCAATGTGACGCTATATATTAGTTTACCCGATCAAGTCTTGCTCTCTGTACTCACAATTTCACCTAGGAGCACCACATTCTCGCCTCGTATTATGAAAACGCCTCGAGGAATATCTCCATACTCATTGCCGACATGTATCCGTTCGATTGTCCTCTGCAGAACAAGGTTGGCAAACTGATCTACGGACCGTAAATAGCCTATTAATGTTCGACCGTCTCGAAGCAGCACCATTAGTTTTTCTACAAGTTCACAATATATTATTATTCATATTACAGTTTGCCGGCTCAAGTGTCCAGTATATACTATCAACTTCTTCCAGCAGATGCGCTGTTCCAGCCAAGGGATTGAGGTCGTCCATATGGCGAAAACTCGTTGATATTTTTAAATGCTAGTATAAAGTACTTTTACAATTAAATAATTAAAAAATAAACCCTTAAAAACACATATACTTTAGCTTAAATGCAATAGAACTACTGAAAACTTTTTGCGCCTGGTATGCTGTGACCAGAACAATTTTTGCTTAACTCAGCAACTGGCTATTTTGCTTGCTCGTTTGATATGTGCAAGCCACTTAATATTTATTTTTTTAAACTGCCAGGTACTTATATATAATCTATATGATATAGGTGATTCAAGAAATGAAAATATTAAATTGTTTTTTGATTAAAATATATTTATGGGTTACCATTCTCTGAAATGATGAACAGCGTACATGATGCGGCAAGAGCACGTACAATTCGTGCATTATTATCAATGCTAATATCGATAGCAAGCGATAGTTGCCGGCATGTTCGTCGCCGCAGCAGCCAAAACTAAACAATTGCAAAATTAAACTAAATAACGTAATTTTGAAAAACTATAGTGAACGGAGCTCAAGTATAAACCGCTTAAGACACATAGGAGCACAATGAAGTAATATTAATATACAATGTACAAAAACTGCTTTCGATTTAATTAATGGTCGGCTACTTCGTCTCTCTCAGGCTCAGTGTTGACGGACTGCTCGTTTATTTTCCCTATGAATATATTTATCCTGAGCAATATGCATACATGCTGGAGCTTAAGAGAAGTCTGGACGCCAAGGGGCACTGTCTACTTGAGATGCCCTCGGGCACTGGAAAAACAGCAACATTACTCTCCCTGGTAGTCGCCTATATGATTGAGCATCCGGAAACAGTTCGCAAGCTGATTTATTGCTCACGTACGGTGCCGGAGATTGAGAAAGTTATTGCCGAGTTGCAGAACCTAATGGCATACTATGAACGCAATGCCCTCGCAGCGCCAGGCTTTACCGGCCTGGTGCTTAGCTCACGTAAAAATTTGTGCATTCATCCCGAGGTGAGCAAGGAGCGCGAGGGCAAGGCGGTCGATGGCAAGTGCTATGGGCTAACTGCTAGTTACATACGCGAACGCCATGAACTGGATGCCGAGGTGCCCATATGTAAGTAATTGCCATTGCTGTTGAGTCAATTTAACATTCATTACTCTTTTAGGTCAGTATTTTGAGGGCTTCACATTGGAGGGCAAGGAATCGACACTGCCCGTGGGCGTATATAGCATCGATGATCTTAAAGAATATGGACGGTCGAGAAATTGGTGTCCGTACTTTTTGGCACGTTACGCTGTGCGTTAAGAGTGTTAATGTATTGATGTTATTTATATACTTACGCCCTCCACTCTGCCTCCTTTTTTGTCTGGTAGATTGCACACGCCCACATTGTTGTCTACAGCTATCATTATCTACTGGATCCAAAGATCGCCCAGGTTGTCTCCAAGGAAATGACACGCGAGTCCTGTGTGGTTTTCGATGAGGCTCATAATATAGACAATGTATGCATCGACTCCATGAGCGTGAAAATAAATCGAAGAACAGTTGAGCGCAGTACTAACGCCTTAAATCAGCTCACAAAATTGGTGCAAGAGTAAGACCTACTCCATAATTATTCAAATAATTAAACATGACTAATTAATTGTCTACTGCAGCATGCGGGATGAGGACACCAATCGTTTAAATGAGGAATATCAGCGCATGGTGCAGGGCCTCAAGGATGCTAGCGTACAGCGTGATACGGACATGATTCTGGCCAATCCGGTGCTGCCCAACGATGTGCTCACAGAGGTCGTCCCAGGCAATATACGGAATGCGGATCATTTCCTTAGTTTTCTACGTCGTTTTATAGAATACATTAAAACTCGACTGCGTGTGCATCATGTGGTGCAGGAGTCCCCAGCGGGATTTCTCAAAGATGTATCATCTAAAATCTGCATAGAGCGCAAACCTCTGCGCTTCTGTGCGGAGCGCTTGTCCAGTTTGTTGCGCACCCTGGAGATTACCGATATGACGGAATTCGGTGCCCTGACGCTGGTACGTAATGCTGTTTATAATAATTGATGATGATGATGATTCGATGCAATTGTTCACAGATAACGCACTTTGCCACATTGGTCTCTACGTACACGAAAGGGTTTACCATCATCATTGAGCCGTTCGATGACAAGACGCCGACTGTTTCAAATCCCATAATGCATTTCAGCTGCTTGGACTCATCCATTGCCATGGCGCCAGTCTTCTCACGGTTTCAAACGGTTGTCATCACATCGGGCACGCTGTCGCCCATGGACATGTATCCTAAGATTCTGGACTTTGATCCAGTTGTTATGAGTAGCTTTACCATGACCCTGGCTCGTCCCTGTCTGCTGCCTATGGTAAATGAAGCAGTTTGAATTAGGCTTAGACTTGTTTATTTATTTAGTTATTTTATTTTGATATAGATTGTCTCAAAAGGCAACGACCAGGTGGCCATCTCGTCCAAGTTCGAGACGCGCGAGGACACTGCTGTGATCAGGAACTATGGCCAGCTGCTGGTGGAGGTGGCCAAGACTGTGCCCGATGGCATCGTTTGCTTTTTCACATCCTATCTGTACTTGGAGTCGGTTGTGGCCTCGTGGTATGACCAGGGCATTGTGGATACTCTACTCCGCTATAAGCTGCTGTTCATCGAGACCCAGGACAATGCCGAAACAAGCTATGCGCTCATGAACTATGTTAAGGTGAGCGCCCTCAAATTGCAACCCGCAATGTAAATCGCAGTCTCAAATTTCTATGGCTTCCATTGATGATGTTCTTGACACACATTCATCTCGATCTCGCTCTCGATCTATGCTGTCTTTGTTTTAGGCATGCGATTGCGGTCGAGGTGCTGTTCTGCTGGCTGTGGCGCGTGGCAAGGTCTCCGAGGGTGTGGATTTCGATCATCATTATGGTCGCGCGGTGCTCATGTTCGGCATACCCTACGTTTATACGCAGTCCCGCATACTCAAGGCGCGCCTCGACTATCTGCGGGATCAGTTTCAAATACGAGAGAATGATTTTCTAACCTTTGATGCGATGCGACATGCGGCCCAATGTGTGGGTCGGGCGTTGCGTGGAAAAACAGATTATGGTATCATGATATTTGCGGACAAACGCTTCTCACGCCAGGACAAACGGTCGCGTCTGCCGAAATGGATACAGGAGCATTTGGTGGACAGCTTTTGCAATTTGTCCACTGAGGAGGCGGTGCAATTGGCACGCCGCTGGCTCAGGCGCATGGCTCAGCCGTTTTCGAGGGAAGATCAGCTGGGCATTTCATTGTTGACGCTGGAACAGCTGGAGACAATGGAGCAGGAGAAACTGGAACGGCAGGCGCAGGGCAAGGAAGGTGTGGGCGGTGAGGTGCAGGAGCTGTAATTAGAGAGTCGCATGGCGCAAAACCGGCTCTCCAGCTGGCGCCGGCTTCCTTCCGCAATGTATTTTCTTTAACCACTGGCCATGTTTCTGTCTGAATGAGAATGAGAATAATTATAATAAAAAGCGAATTTGTTGCCAGCTAATGGCATTGAATGCCATTAAACGGAGCAGCAAAGCACACAAAAAATGAAAAGTCAAAAAAGAGTTGTTTTTGTTTTTGGTTTTAATCGCTCGGATTTGCCAGGGCAAAACTGACGCAAATGCCTTATTAACTGTTAATTAATATTATTAATTTAGCGGTTGCTCATTGCCCCAACTGAATGACTCAATGCATTTAACTGCGGCTGTCGTTCAAGGCGCCTAAATCAATGTTCTTATTGTTATCGATGACCAATTTGACGCCGATAGATTGGTCTAGACGAATCGAAATCTTTATTGATATCGCTTCAAGACGCCTTTTTAAATGGGTTCTGATAAGAAACATGGAAATAATTTAAATATGAGATGATCCGTGTTGACCGAACATGATTTTATTTAACCTGAACGGAATTAATTTTTTAGCGCTATCAGTTCACATTTGCCAATGACTTATTAATGATGCGCCGACAGGTTATCAAGACAATAAAAAACAATTATGTTCATATGTCCAGTGGATGGCGACAAGTGCGATTGTTTTTGCAATTTTACCTATTTAGCTCATACTGCCGCCAGCAACGGCAATTACAACCTAAACATTTGAACACACCACAAAAAATAATTACTCACATTCCATTTTATGTTTTCAATTTGTTGTCTTATTTCTTAATAACGGCGCACACTGATTTCCTGTAGTCCTCGTGTGAGCCCGACAGTGTGCTAAGCCCGAAAGACAGAGAGGGAAAGAGAGAGAGAGAGAGAGAGAATCTGTGTATGTGTAGCGAAAAAGCTTTGCAATAATACATATACAATTACACACGCATATGTGCACATAACTAACGGCCACGGCCAGCACTCAGAGAGCAACAAGTAAGCGAAAAGTAACCGAATACGATTACAGTGCACCCACGCTAGAAGGAAAACTAGCAAATTAGAGTTGTTGTACTCCTATGCTAAGAATCGCCCTAAACGATATTCGTTAAATGAGCTTTACACAAATAGTAAAATCGAAGTTTAACAAATATAACCAAAGGCTGAGAGTGAGGGCCAGTGAATATGACTTTATTTGGTTAATTTTGCGAACGTAGAGTCTTGCATCAAAGAGTTAGCTGTTATTAGCAGTCTTAGCTCAGGACCTATCTGCTTTGCTTACATTATTAGAATAACGATTGCTTAATATAAAACTGCCATGACTCAAGTATAATTAAAAGCCATTGTTGCGAATTGTTGTTTGCTTCACTTATCGGGGGCGCACTGTATTAGCAACAACAATGCCAACAAAAGGCAAGCGACCGCAAAAGCGACGCTGGCTGAGTCGTCGTCGTCGTCAGTTGTATCTCTCGTTGAACAAGAACTTTCGATTTTTCATAATAAAAAGGTTACAACTAAATCTCTGGCCGTTTAGTCGGGTGTAGCAAATAAAAGCGGAACGCGCGCGCATTAGCATCAACCAATAACACAAAATTCAATAAATTAATGAACAGTTAAATCTAGCATAAACAACAATTGCAAGCGACGCGTTATTTAGTGTGTTTTTTAATTAAGCAAACATTTTAAACGCTAGTAAACCAAATCAAAACCAAAAGAAAACCTAAAGCCAACGCTTATCCTTGTTTTATTTACATAAATAATAGTAAAGAAAAATCATCTTTAACAAAATGAAACCTCAAGCTAACGAACAAAATGGTAGCACTCAAAATGGCGACATTGCCATAGATGCTGCCACCGTCGCCATGGACGCTGCCGCGATCGTACCAACAGCAGCTGCAGTCGCTGCCGGAGTCGCCTCAACAGCGACTGCAGTCAGCGCGGGCGCTGTTGTCCCTGCCAAAAGTAGTCAACAGCTGAAACTGGAATTGCTTAACATGGGCAACGGAAATGGTGAGTGGAAAGGATTCCCGTTAAGCGAGAATGCTCGGCCGTGTTTCGTATATAGTGCTGCTTTATTGTTGTTTTCCGTTAAGTTTAGCAGTGCAATTTTGAGTAGAACGAGAGAAAATGTTAAAATGATCTAGTTTGCGGGTTGTTAATTCTATTACCTAGTGAAAACTAAATAAAATAAGAATTTACTACAATTTGTGGTTTGAGTTTTATGCAAGTCTTTAATAATATTCTCACATAACGTGATGTTGATTATTTCCATAATTGATAAATGTTGTTGGTATTCGCAGCTAACATAAGGCTTGGCAATCGTAGCAGTAATATTTCATCACACAATTTGTCTTCTTAGGTCAGGTTCAGATCAGTTAAGATGCAGCTCAGATTCGCACACTGACCTCTAGATATGGCTCTAATTTCCGGCGATGTTGTTAACATAAAACCAATTGCTCATAAGCCGCAATCGCGAAACTCAAGACAAAATTCAAAGAGCAAGATCTACATACAATCTAGGTACACACATATACATGAAAGCCACACAATGACAGATCAAAAAGCATTAAAAAATAGACATAGTACTCATAGATTTATATGTATGTACAGCAACTGTCAATGATCGTAATAGATTTTGTTGACATTGACATTGAAAGTTCACTGCAGATCGGAAGATTCGATGAGAGCGTTTTCGGCTATAAGCTATTAGTGTATGTGTAGCTCTATAGACAGCATAAACTCCTCAGCGTAATCCGGTATTTAGCCAAAAGCCAGGGGCAAGCCGCCGGGAGTGGGGCTCGAGGCTAGACCTGTACTACTTTTTGAAGGTTAAAAGCATTTAATTGGACGCGAGTACCACACACAGCACAAGCAGCCGTTTAAAACGGTTTAGATTTGTCGGTATTATATGTACATATATATAAAAAATTTATATATGTATATATATTTGTGTTTCTTTTTCTATCTTTCGGTTTTCTTTGTTTCTTTCATATTGCATGAGCAATAAGTCGCCGCCGTGCTTCACATTTGAGCGATCGCGGTCAATAAAAAAATAAGCTATTCGCACGGTTTTTCACTAGCAATGGTTAGGCAGCAAAAACAAAAAAATCCTAAATGAATCAATAACATGATATACATATACATATGTACATATATACATTTAAATCCATTGCCATGCCTACATATTCTTCTTAGAATTCCGTAATGCGTAATTGTGAACTATGACAAAAAAAAGAGAAAAAAAACAAGAGTAAAAAACACCTGCCCTATGGAAAATGTTAATGATGACTTACCTTACTTTTAATTACATTGCATTGCATGCTTACGATATGTGCCAACTGGTTGTCTCTACGATTAGATCATTTACCCGCTCAATTCATAGTATTCCAACTATTTACAACCATTCGCTAATGTTGGCTCTATTAAACAAGCATCCCCCCGGTCTAGAGTCTATACGAAATCAGTTGGTTTTGTATTATAGATATCCATTTCGGAACTTGCAGCTGAATGAAATGTGTATTAGAAATATCTGTCAAAGTATACTATAGTATTTGATATGAATGGCATGAAATGCTATAATATAAATGCTATCTGAAAACTATTTTTAACTAGTTTTTTACTCAGCAGTTAGTCACTCATCTACAGAGATTTAACTAAACTACAATGGATTGAAGAAAATGTGAATATCATAGAAAATGGATAACATATATATATACATATGTATAATATGTATACCATCTATGGACATTTCCTTTCTAGTTTATTACACACGCTTTAAAATGATTCATAATATTGGGTAAACTCAAAAGGCTTATAATTATATAAATACCTATATATATATGTATGTATTTACTTGAACATTATATACATATGTATATTTATATAATATTACCTACATATATAATATGAAAGTGTCCCACAGTTTTTACCGTACATTCAACTTATCTAAATAGTACATACATACACATACATATAAACACATATATACGTACATATGTTAAGTAACAGAATCCAAGCCATTGCACAGTTGTATCACTCTGTACAATTTATACGTCTATATATTCGATTCCCAATGAAAGAGCTCTACATCACATCAAAATCAAAATCAAATTCAAATTCAATCTCAGACATTCGGAATGCATAAATTCCTTTTGCCGGTAGCGTTCATTGACTTCTTCGGGGACACTTTCTATATATGTAAAGCAAAGACTTATATGTGCTGATGCATAACATATATACATATATATGTGCATGTCTATATATATGAATACATATTTATGCCAACTCTTACATAAGCCATAGAAGTTATCAACCATTTATTGTGCGACTTTTTGAGGGCTTCCCAAATAGGAGCATCAACTTTTTTGGTATCTCTCATTGATATGATAAAAGAATATGCTTTCCTGGAATCTCAGCCTAGCTGAAATGTTGTAAAAATTGGGGAAAATACTCTTAACTACAATTAAGTGGTAGGAATATACTTTTATAATCTCACTTTTTACCTCGCTCTCGCATTCATTCACTTTTACTTTCCCCAGCAGAATAGAACACATATTTCTGGAATCTCTCCCTACCTCCATCTCTTCCACCTTTCTATTTAAATTAATTTTTTTTGTACCTCCCATCACACACGAAAATAGTATTTAGACTGTGTTTTTCCTGTGTTGCCCTCTCTTTTTCTCTTTTTCTCTTTTAGAGATTAAACTATTTATTGCTATTTAACTGTTGTGTAAATTTTCAATTAAAAACTGATTTTTTCAAATTCCAAATTTTCGGTCTACATGATTGTCTCCTCCTCCAGCATGTACTCGGTGAGATCGCCCGGGCCCGACAGCAGGGTGACTGGCACACGATTCATCTGTGCTACCTTCTGACTGGGCCATACCATCATATCGTTGCTGTTGGTGAGGACCATGACGTTTGTATTTTGGGTCGTCTCGCAGGGCAGTATTGACCTAATCTCAGTATCGCAGCTGTTCGGCCTTCGACGAAAACGAAACTTAATCGGCTGAGATTTGTCCAACACCGTCTCCTCATCAAAGTAGGGTGCAAAGCCCATCGCAGGATTGATATTGGTTGGCTTCGTCAGCTAATCGTAGAGAAAAGAGTTAGACATTGAAATACATGGAGATGGAAAGATTTTCATATTCAGACTTCCTACGTACCTCTTCCAATACGATAGACGTCTTGAGTCGCCGACACGGATCACAGTAGTCAGCCGCATTTGCATCTGGCGGGGATGTGCTAGTGCATGGATCCGGAGGTGGTTGCTCAATTTCTTCTTTGATTGCTCCATATTGTGACTTCTTGGCTTTCGCTTCTTCGGCCTCTTCGGCCTGCATTTCCATGCATTTCTTGAGAAAGCTCTCCTCAATTTCAATTAGACGCTTGACGGCGCAATCCCGTTTCAGAAAATTCTTGATCACCGAAAGATCACGTGGAACGGCGCCAACGACATCGAAGTCATCGGCACGGAGCTTGATGCGATGAGCCATGTTAACAAAAAATTTGGAATTTTTCGGTGAAGGCAGGATTTACGTGTTGCCTACGTTTTTAAGTGACTGAAAAGTTCTGACTACTCAAGCTTGGGTAAACACACACACACACACTCACACTTACACACGCGCACGCATACGCACGCACATGAAATCAAAGTTGAAGTTAATAGACCTTGAGCACGTTCGAGTGGGCGACCACCCAAGCCACCCAAACCAACCACCCACCCACCGTGCGCCCCCATTCAAAAAGCAACAAGTTCGAAAGTCAACAGTTTTAAGAGCATTGCAGACGCGCGTAAAGCTCGCTCGCTCTTCAAAAAGCTCTGCTCACGCTCAAAGCTCTGCTTGAAGTTCTTATTAGCAACGACAAGCCCAGCGGGCAGCCAGTTGCCCAAAGCATTTCACAACGTTCACACGCACAGCCCGAGCCGAGCCGAGACGAGTTACGCTTTTTTTCCTCATCCAAAGTCGAAAGAGATTTTTGTGTATTTGGTTCTTCAAAATATTGCAAGTTAAATAAAGGCAACAGCATCTAGCCAAACATGAGCTTCACACGCCAACTGTCCGAGATGAGCGCCAGCGAGCTGAACGATGCCATCGACGATACGAATTTTCCACAGGCGCATATCCTTTCGCGTGGGCGCAACAATAGCGTCTGCTCAACAAGTAGCACCTCCGGCACCTCCTCGCTGGCGGATCGTGTGGTCGCCCAGCCCGAGGAAACGCAGCCACCGTCGTCGGCTGGCAGCGAGGAGCCAGCTCCAATCCAACCCAATCGACCACGTCTCATACTGAAGAGCAGCGCCAGCATACCGGAAAATGATGGTACACAATCGTCGTTAACACCACAGACACCGCGTACATCGACGACGCCAGGTAGTGGGATTGGGATAACTCTTTGCCTAGGAGCCGCTTGAGCGAACGACATCGGCGCTTAATCATTCAATTAATAGGGTCTAACGGGCATAATAATCATTTAATTTAATGTGCGACGCCTGACGAACTATAAATATAAAAATATTTATATGTATATATTAGCAAGTCGCGCCTAATGGCCCAATCGTTCGAGATAAGAGTTCAAGTCCCCGTTGGGCTGCACTGATACGAGCCACAGCATTAGAGCATTAATGCCTGTCAAAGGTTGAATCGTGTATATTTTCTGATCAGCATTTGTTTTCAACCCAAGTCCAATTGGGACGCACTCCGGGGTGGGGCGGGTTATCAATAGACAAACGAATGTCCAACACTGTTTCATATGTTTTTCGTTTCTTGTTTTGGTTTGTTTACAGGCCATGAGAACTGCACTTTTCATCATGATCTGGAGCTGGATCACAAGCCGCCTACACGCGAGGCATTGCTACCTGATATGGCGCGCTCCTATCGCCTGTTGTTGGGCGGTCTCGGCGAGAATCCCGATAGACAGGGCCTGATCAAGACACCGGAACGTGCGGCCAAGGCAATGCTGTATTTCACCAAGGGTTACGATCAGAATTTGGAGGGTAAGTGGGCAGCATTACGTGTTTCCATACAGCTCAATTAGCACCTGACAAACACTCTGACCAATTAGCATTAGGTCAGTGCTCCATCCTGTGTGACACAGTGAATCAGCAAAAAAAAAACACAAAAATTAACTTCGAAGCGGCATTTCCAGCTAGAAACTAGTTTCTTTTAGTTGTGATTCATCGGAGCTCCATATATGTATATGTATATCTATACTATATGTATATATTTGACCACCGTACTTCACCTTTATCACTGACTTGACTTGACTGGGCGGTGCATTACCCTTAATAGTTTTCACTTAAGTCGGTTTACAGTTCTAAGTGAAGAGTTTTTTTTTGTTGTTGCTCTTTGGAGGGTCCTTGCGCTTGGCGCACTGTCAATTCTCTAGTATTGTATAACTCTAATATGTTTACTGACTTTATTTTATTCTTATTTTTGCTTTTAGTTTGTTTTTATTTATTTATTGTGTTTTGGTGAATTGCAAGTATGCAGACCGGTTTTAAGAATAGTAATTCAGAAAAGCAGGTTCTACACTTTATTTAATACAATCGCACAAAACTCAAAGTCAGCATTCAAATTGGCCAACGGCAGCGGCAGCGACGGCAGCCAGATATTAATGAAAGTAAATTGCCTCGAGTCACATTTATAATCAATAATCACAGCAACAATTCGCAGCCCTTTCAATCTAATTTCAATGTTAAATAGAATTCCAAATGCTCCAAAATCAAACGTGTCTAGAATTTAATCATTTTCTTAACATTATTTAAATTTCAAACAAAGCTAGTTAACTAGTTCACAAGATGATTTTTAACAACAGAAATGTGTCATAAAATCTGTGACATTGAAGTTTGCAGCGAGTGTGAAAGAGACAGAGGGAGACCAGAGCAGAGCTACAGGAGCAGCGGCAGCAGAGGGCAGAGGGAGAGCAGAGCAGAGCTGCAGCACCAGCAGCATTTGCTATGAATTGACAGGAAGCGCACTTAAGCTTTTAAAACGGTAACGAAGAGGCGCAGAGAGAGAAAGTGTGTGAAAAATGAGTGAGCGACTGACGTCGACTGCGCTGCTGTGAGCGGGTGTGCAGGGAGAACAGGCGAGAAGTGTGCTGAAATCACAAGAGTAGGCAGAGCATTTAAAGCTGAAGTAGTGAAAGCTCAAGCTGCCAAAAGAATGGCCAACAAGTGGCGCCACACGCACACACACACACACACACACACACTCTTCCTCACGCTCTCAGGCTCTCATGTGCATGTGTGCACATTAACAGTCAAGTGGAAAAGTTCAACTTAAGATTCAGTTATGCCATTGCCACACGTTCTATTGAGCAAATAAATGTAGCATAAAATTTACATCAATCTAGGTTGGAACGAAATAATATTAACATAATTTTCGGTTTGATTTGTGGCTTAGATGTGCTTAATGGCGCCGTCTTTGATGAGGATCACGATGAAATGGTCGTCGTGAAGGACATTGAAATGTTCTCTATGTGCGAGCACCATTTGGTGCCCTTCTATGGAAAAGTGTCTATTGGTTATTTGCCATGCAATAAGATTCTGGGTCTCAGCAAGCTGGCTCGGTAAGTTACCATAATTCTCTTACTTGAAATTTATATAAATACCTTATTTGTATATATTTTAGCATCGTGGAAATATTTTCGCGTCGTCTTCAGGTGCAGGAGCGTTTGACCAAGCAAATTGCTGTTGCTGTAACACAGGCAGTGCAGCCAGCTGGAGTTGCTGTTGTTGTTGAGGGCGTGTATGTATAAAATAAAAAATAATTATTTTAAGTTTATAAATTTTAAAAATATAAAAAATAATCAAAAAAGTTGAGTTGCATCGGCCGGGAATCGAACCCGGGCCGCCCGCGTGGCAGGCGAGCATTCTACCACTGAACCACCGATGCTTGCGTGGGAAGTTGCGCTAAAGCTGAATAAGTGGAAGTGTCTGAACTAGCACTGTGCAGACAATTGATATGGAGTTTAATAATTATACTGATTTATTAACTGTTTTGATTATATTCATTATTTATTATTTATCATATAGACTTATTAATATACTTCTCTCTTTCAGACACATGTGCATGGTCATGCGTGGCGTTCAGAAAATCAATAGCAAAACTGTTACCTCGACTATGCTTGGCGTATTCCGCGATGATCCAAAGACTCGCGAGGAGTTCCTAAATCTAGTCAATAGCAAATAAATCTATATAAATTGTATCATTTTTTGACTTGTGTACAAAATTTTTGTTGAAACTTTAAATTTCGTTTAGTTCAATTTGCAAGACGACAGACGAGAAAAAACATCGCGAATTTTGGTGTTGGTAGTTTTACATGCATAATATTTGTTTATTTAAAAAAAAGCAAAAAAGAAAAAAAAAATGACAGCACATAATAATATTTTTTATATATATGTTACACTCACACATGCATATATTTGTATGCAATAAGGGAACAACTAAATAAACGACATCGGAAACCGTTTAGGGAATTTACAATTAAGCTACAATTCGTAAACAAAAATAAGTATCTACAGATAGATAAATTTATATATATTTACATATATACAGGAACATACATACATACATATATGAACTTATTAAAATTAGTAATCAAAGAAAATCGCTCGAAATTGCTTGTTATCTATATACAAACAGAAGTAAATATGTATAAATATTTATATATGTATTTTAATTACGGCATTTTTGAAAAGATAACAAAATTCACACTATGAATTAGATAAACGTATGCTCGTTATGCAATTGTTGTTTCTTGCACTAAACAAAATCTGCTTAAAATTATGTATAATTAAATAAATAAATAAATATTTGAATATTGTTAAAAATAATCATCGTCTTTCAATTACTAATAAACAAACTAAAAGTATATATAGCAAACAAAATAACAGCTATACATTTGTGCTAATAATAAACAATGAAAAAGTTCATCCTTTCGTTGACCCCGACGTGAATCGAACACGCAACCTTCTGATCTGGAGTCAGACGCGCTACCGTTGCGCCACGGAGTCCTTGTTCACCGTTATACCAAATGCCATATACAGCACAAACTCTCAATTATGTGGACATATCCTGATTGGAATTTGCATATGTAAATTTTCCTCCCCAAACATTATATAAACTATTAATAAACTTTCATTGAATGAGGACAAGAAAATGAATATCATATAAAATTGAATTTATTTCCTTACTTCATAACAAGGCAGCAGGCTGTTAAACGTTACGAGTTACGATTAATAAATCGAGTAAACGAATGTCTGATGATTTTAGCTGTTCATTGTATGAAATTTACAACTACTTATTTATTTGGTTCGTACATTTAAACTTAACCGGTATACAGACGGAATAGAGAAGATTTAAACTTTGGCTTAGTCTAAAATCAAGAAAATGCTTTTACTTTTTTTTTTTTTTTTACAAATTAAATCAGCAACTAGACAGAATAGACAGGGAATTGAAACGAATATACATATACAAAACTAATCATTTTTTATCTGCACTTATTTTACAAATTATACGGCAGTAAGGCTTCAGCTCTAATCTCATAGAGTTATCCATCCAATGGGGTCCCTAAATAGACCATAGACACTTCTGTGTTGCCATAGACAGCAGATACCGTAGGATAAAGCTTCTTAGCTGGCAGACCTATAATAATTTTATAGCATTTATCGAATAAAACAATTAGCAAAAAGATTTTTAAAAATAACCAACCTCTAAATGCGACTCCTAGGAATTCATAATTCTTCTCAAAGGATAGTGTATTATCATCGCAGTCGAGTATAACGCGTATCCTTTCGCCCACCTGGTATTTAGGTGCATTGTTTAATAACGGATAATTGCCCTGCATATCACCGTTGTGCAGTAGATGATTCTCAACTAGGTTCCAGCCCCAGCTTTGATCATCAGATCCAAGTAATGCTACATAGCCATGACACTGCAAAGCTGCCTCCTTGGTGGATATACCAATTACGGCCACGGTCCCCAATGGACCCTCCCAAATCACTTCCCATGCATGACGGCCTTGACGAAATCCGATTTTCGCCCTTGCAGCATCTGTGCTTTGTGCTACCGGATTTCTGAAATAGAAACAAACCACAAATAAGATTAGCACATGGAGAGTACCAGGAAACAATTTATGTACCGATGCAGAGTGAATCCGTTTGGCTTAATGTAAACGTTCCGTGAACAATCGTTGGGATTCCAAGCGTGCAGGTACGCGCGCAGCTTTGTCTTGTATGTGGTAACGGAGGCCAACAGATCGGATTTAATAGACTCTTTGGGAAGTTTCCGCAGGCAGTGCCAACGCCAAACATCACTGTTCTCATCGTTCAGAAAGTGATACCAGCTTTTGCAGACTTGGGAACAGCGACTTAAGTCACTGAGCTCCAAATATGAAAATATTGCCTCCAATACATTATAATTGCACAGGGGATCGACCATTTTGTTGTTGTCTAGTCGTCTTCCACACTGATATCAGGTGGAGCTGGGCTTTGTGCGCGTGTATTGATGATTTGATTTTATTTAACAGCAGTAATCTCTTTTACATAGCCTTTAGTTTTTCACTTAACGTATCATAAAATCTCTTATTTGTCATTTTATTTTATCAACAAATTGTTTATTATAGTATTTGGCAAAAGTCAGCCGTGCGTGTGTAGAGTTGTGTCGAAATGCTCCGAGCAAGTTCATCGGTACGAATCACATTGTTCACGTTCATTTAGTTCTTTTGAATTTTCTGTGCCCGCATAAAATTGGCATTATTCTCAATATGATACGAAATGTAATCTTATTATTTAAATATAATTAAAAATATAATATAAATAAAGGCATTCAATATAATTTGTAGAATTGCAGTTTAAAATCTCATTACAGTAGCAATAAACAACTCTAGGGTTTGAAAAACTATCGATATCCAAACACACTACTTTTTGCTTGCGATGATTGTGTCGAGTTGGCCAAAATGATTGTCGTCGTTTAGGGTGAAGTCCACGATAACAGCATTGTTTACATTTTGTAAAGTGTGTTGATTAACGTTCGAGATGATAAAATATCTTTACAGATACACGTTTAAAATATAAACTATTTCAGTGTTGACTTTTTTAACGAATGAGCAGACAACCTAGACATTTGATGACCTACGAGCAAAGGTTATCTATCACATTCTGAAAACAGAAGCGACAACTTTATGTGTGTACATTTTGAAAACAATTACAGAATTCTTATTCAATTATTAGGAAAAAGTAAGAAATACTGTATTTATAAGATATTAAAGTCCTTGAAGCTCTTTAGTGAATAATAAGATAACATTTTGTATTATATGAGTGCCGCTACCGTGACGTACGTTACACAGCACTGAGTTCGATTGATGCGTAAATTTGGCGCGCCGAGGAAATCAGCTGTTTAACGCGGGGTCTGCCATTTCGCTCGCACTCTCACGTTGGTCGTTTTCGTAGTCGTTGTCGTCGTCGTCGAAAAACCAACGACTTGATGGAAATTTTATTCACATCGCGCTGCTATTAAAACGAACCATAATAAAATTCTAAATAGTGCATTAGAAACAACATAATTTCCCCATTCATTTACAAAAAAGTGCATCAAAATCAGAACACTGAAAGTGCTCGAAAAACGCCTTTGAAAAAACCCGCATTGAAACCATTTTCTGTGTGAGTGTGACAAGAAAAAAATGCGCTACTGCTTCTGCTGGAAACAAAAAATGCGCTCGCCATTTTGACTCGCGCGACAACCAAATTTTTACTTGCTGCTATCAAAATAATCACTTTGAACTGTGCCACAGCGTAGCCTCTTACGCCCAAATATAAGAACATCTGTGAATTGTGCAAAAATATTTAATACACGTGTTACAATTGTGAACCCCAAAAAACTACCGAGATCATCGCGGGCCGCGCCACACAAATACAAATATAAAAAGTACACACATTCACTTGCATTCACCGAGGCAGGCATTCATATATACACATACACACGTTGCGACTACGTGCTTCAGTTCCGTTCAGTTCTATTGGCATTGATATCTTTTGGCGGGGCGTGTTGGTGAACGGTTAGTGTCCCCTCCCAGGAATATAAGCGCAAATACAAAATAGTCGCAGTCGCCGCAGGTAGCAGCGAAATCAATTTAGCAACGGTTAAGGGTGCTGGGCACCAAACAACAGGCGAATCGTCGTCCATACACCTGTCCTTCTGCCCACTACACATGAAAATGGCGCATACCACGGCGACAAATCAAACGAGCGGCGCTGTTAAGACTGATGAAGTCAACTTTTTCTTTCAGGATGAGCACGGTAAGCTGGACTAAGCGGTTTAGTGGTCAATAAGTCCAGTTGGACTCCCGCTACATTGCAATGTTATTAGCGGATTAATTTTGCTTTAATGAATGCATAACATACAAACATGCATATGTGTATATATTATAACATAGAAGCTCACACATAGTATTTACATATACAGATACAGTTGCAAAGACTTGCGTATTCACAATAGTAGCGGCGGGGGAGCTACTCTACTAACTTGCATGCTCGCACACTGGCGCGTAAACGCCATCTTTTTCTTTTTTCGGTTTCCTTTTACATACAATATTTATCGCTTAATGCTCTTTAAGCGCATACTCAACGCCGCGCCATGGCGAGGCAAACCAACAAGAGCAACAACTACTACTACAACTGCACGGCAACACGTCAAAAAAACAAATAATAAAAATAAAATCAAGTAAAATCGGTTGGTTTTGTCTGCTGCTGCCAATATATGTACATTCATATGTACATTTGTATGTGCATGGATGTATGGATGTGCATGCTCACACAGATATGTACGTATGTATGTATGTATGCCAAGATGAATGTGTGTATCATGTACATATGTGTACATTGCCGGGCAGTAGCGACGACACTCGCGCATCGCCCAGTTGGCGCTCAGTCAAACAAACACATACTCAAATACATTCTATAATGAAAAAGATACTCTGTCATTTGTTGTTGTTTTTGTTTATTTTTTTTTTAGTCTAAACAGCTGATAGCAGCGCAGCAGCGCGGCAGCAGACAACCGGCAGCACTGTCTTCGTTAAAGCTTCCGTCGAGAGCGCTTTTTTGTTCTCTCTCTCTCTGTCTCTCTCTCAAGATTAAATCCTTCGCAAAATAAATCTTAAAATTCAGCACAGTATAAAAACAGGCTGGGGGCGTGTTCGCTGTGGAGGTGACGCAGAACTACTACAACTGCGTGACATTCTGCTTTGTGTTATAAAAAGCTGAAGAATACACACACATGCATACATATGTATATATGTATGTATATTTACACAGATATACATACGTACGCTTTCACAGATAAACTGAACGTATATACACACAGGCGCACGTACAAACAGATAGAAAAATAGTTAAAGCCCAAAATGGGCAAACACCAAACATGTGTAGCAGCGGTTGCGCAGCCGACGCCGGCAGAAATGGTTGTTGTTATTGCCGTTCTGTTGACCATCTTACGTACATCCAAAAGCGCGCGTGTGTGGGTATGTATGTGTGTGTATGTTTGAGCGCGCGTGTATATGTAAGCGCATGGGTTGTTTGTATGAATGAGTGAGCAGCGTCGACCGTACGCCGGCTAACCGGCCTGCTACAAGGCTGCTGCTGCGTCTGCTACTGCTTGCTGCTCTCAGCGATGTTTGACAGCAGTTAAACTCTGATTCATTTGTTAGTATGCGTGCGTGTGTGTGTGCAGATTGGTATTTATAGTTGGAAGCCCCTTTGCTGGCTACGCTCTTTATTCATAAACCACTTAAAATTAGCATACATGTTTATTTGTATACATATTTCTAGAGTGCTTAGCGCGTCCGTTAAATATTAACATTATGTAAATGTTAGCTCAGCAGGTGAATAATTAGCATAACTGACAGATCTAGATGTAAATTGTAAAGCGAGACGGCGATAACAGAGGGCCAGGGTTGTGCAAACAAAGCGATCGTAGTACATACTACACTGATACTGTTATATGTATATGTATGCATGTAAATATGTATGTGATCACGTGCTTCATACAAACATACATTTATATATCGGCTTACTTGCTTTAGGGTATTTTTTTGTGTGAACTGTTGCGGTTTCTCAGCATATCCTTTGCACCCCATGTCAAGTAGCGGGCATATTTATGTTTTCGTTTCTTTCGTGCTTCACATATTTCGTTTTTTTGGTATTTGGCTTTGTTTTTGTTGTCGCCTTTTTTCCAGCGATGTTTTTGGTTTTCGCACTTTACTTTTGTTCTCAACATTCGCCGTGAGCGACTGTGATAGTGTGTGTATGTATGTATGTATATATTTACATGCATTGCATTCGATTAACATACATATATCGAATCACCTCATTGAACTTTCGAACCAAATGTTCGTTCATTGCGTGCACTGAAAATCCTTTACGACGCAGTGGAGAACGCCTTCCTAATGTGTGTGCTTCTAATCATGATCAAAATACATATGTAATTGTATTTATTTGTCTGTCTATATATTTAAATAGGACAAATTGCCAAAGTGTTGAAGCCAGTTGTAGTGAAGCAGGCACACTCCATGGATAAGTCAAGTCTGGTCTTTCCAAGCAGCTCCACACGCAACGGGGGAAGCGGAAGTGGCGGCATCGGCAATGTAGGTCGAGTTGGCGCCCTAAGTCACATGGTAAGCATGGATCAATTGATCGAAAACAGAAAAATACTTATTATTAAACTTATTTGCGCGCAGAGCACAACGAATCAGGGACAATTTATACGTATTCAAGACAATTGTATAACTATTCCAAAAACCGAAAGTAAGTCGAGCACAGACAGCTAATATTTGCGTACAACATTTATAAATGTGCCATTCGGGTTTTATTTCAATTTTTTTCAACAGTTACTTCATATACACCTGTGTCAGCGCAAAAAACCAGCAGTGCTGGAAGTGCGGGAGGCAGCATGCACGATGTGAGTAAATAACGCAGAGGCGATTATCTGCAATGAAAACAAACTAAATAATAATTTACTTGTAGATTAAGAATGAGCGATATGTCAAATTCACGCCAAATAACGTCATGAAAATGAAATCGAAATTGTAAGTTAATTGGCAATTTATCAAAATACATTACATATATAAATATATATATATATACATTTGTAATCCTTAGGCACGTCATTCAGAACAGTCCCATGCACACAGCGCCCGCCTCTTCCTCGTCAGCGCAAAGGAAACGAAAACCAGATAAAGCTGGCAAGGGACTGCGTCACTTCTCGATGAAGGTGTGCGAGAAGGTGCAGGAGAAGGGCAAGACGACATATAATGAGGTGGCGGACGATTTGGTTGCTGAGGAAATGAAGAACAATTCATACGATAATAACTGTGATCAAAAGAATATCCGGCGGCGTGTGTACGATGCGCTTAACGTACTGATGGCAATCAATGTTATTTCTAAGGACAAAAAAGAAATCCGTTGGATCGGCTTACCTGCCAACTCAGCCGAGGTACTAAAGTGTCTCTGAGTTATTTAGTTTATATATTAATATTTATTTTGATTTACTTGATTTTAGCAATTTAATGCCTTGGAAGAGCAAAACATGTTGTGCCGCGAGCGAATCAAGCAAAAGAATGAAATGTTGCGGGAAATGGTCATGCAACATGTGGCATTCAAGGGTCTTGTCGAGCGGAACAAGCGGGCTGAAAGCCAGGGCGTGGTGCCATCTCCAAACTCATCCATTCAACTGCCGTTCATCATTGTGAATACGCACAAATCGACAAAAATCAATTGCAGTGTAACCAACGACAAGTATGAATTCGTCAGAGAAGATTTATATATTGTTTTAATCATAATAATCATTTGCTATATATTTCTACTTCGCAGATCCGAATACATATTTAAGTTCGATAACACATTCGAAATGCACGACGACATTGAGGTCTTGAAACGCATGGGCCTCCTTGCGGGTGAGTAAACAATTTATGGAGCTTCTATTGAAAGAGCATTTGATAAGATTGTGGCTTTGCTTCTTGTTGTTAGGCTTGGATACAGGTGAATGCACGGACGAGAATATAGAACGTGTCAAGTCATGGGTCCCACCAAATCTGGCCAAATATGTGGAAGGTATTTATTTACTGAATTGGATTGTAGGAATGAAACATGGTTTATACCATACATTATTTCACAGCCTATGGCACTGGCAAAATGGATCCGATGTACGATTCGGATGACCATGACGACTTCAATCCGTACCTCGAATCAACCAATGAGTCTCAGGGCATTGCACAACACACACAGCATACCACCGATGTCGAGTTCAAGGAGGAGCTGGACGATGATGAGCTGGAGGATGACATCGATTGAGGTGACGACGATGCGGACGCGGATGCGGATGTGGATGTGAACGTGTCATGGGCGATGGGCTCCACTGCGCAAGCTGCTGATGATATTGGCAATGGCTATGCGGAGGATATGTTTAGTTTTACGTTCATTAACGCTTTGTTAGGACTGCCACGCCCCACTGGCTAGGCTTTCCATTTCTCACACTTGTCTTGCTACACAAATACACACACTTACACAACAAAAGCACACACACACACACACAATCCATAGAGAAGCGTTAATTCGCTTTTATTTCGTTTAATTTCTCAATGAGACTTATTAATCTATATAAATAAGTTAAAAAACAAATCAACATTTAATAATGATAAACATAACTCGGCGTTCAGTTTGTATTTGTATTTTTGAAGTTTATTTTTAAGCGCAAAAACTTATTGATTAATGTTCATTTAAGCGAAAAGAAATTGTATTTTAGTGAAAATATACAAAAACAAAAGAAAAAAAAGAAGGAAAGTAAAGATAAAAGAAAAGAATATCTGTCTTCATTTTAGTTGTTAACCAATTGCTGCTTAAACAAAACTCTTAAGAGGCAAAGAGACAAATTTTTCAAAGTTTATCGTCAAATGTTGTAGAGCAACTTTTTAAAAAGAACTATTGTACACCAAAACTCTTAAATGACAGCAATTAAATATAATGTAATAATCTTAAAGCTACAAATTGCGGTGCAAACTGTGGAGAGAAGCATATGAAATATGTTTATTTGCCTAACATTAATATTTTAAGACACCTGTTTCACATTTTCCGAAAATTTCTCAAAAACTGTTCAACTAAAATTAAAGCAAACAAAATATATTTATAAATACAAACACACATATATATATACATATACACAGATATATATATATATATATATATATATAGCTATATAATAATATACAAATTAAAAGTAAATGGAAAATAATCAACCTACCTATTTAGTCATAATAACTATAAATGCATCAATATAAATTACTAGAATTTATATAAAACTCTGAAAAAAAAAAAAAAAAAACAAATGAATACAAATGCAAATTAGTAGAAAGTGAATGAAATATGTACATTTAAGAGTCGAATCGAGTCGAGTAGTTGTGTAATAAATTTAAAAATATTTCATTTTAAAAATGGGAAAAATCGACAAAGAGCAAATACAAAACGCATTAACATACAAAGCAAAACAAAAACAAAACATAAAAGTAAATAGGCAATAAACTGAATACATATTGTAAAATATGATTTAAACAAAAAGTTGTTTGCTTAAACTGAGGTAAATTATATTTATAATTATGTTATTATATATATATATAGGTTGGGTTTGTTAAGGTAATTATTTATATAACATTTATTGTTTCGTTATATCTGAGCTTTTGTTGAAAAATACCATTGTTCCAGGTGAAAATTCTGCGGCAGATTTGGCGCAACTGGGAAATGTGGGAGTAATGGGAATTTCGAAACAATTGACCTGACATATTACAGCCCGAAGGTGTTCAGAAATTCATTTGGCTTAAAGCTAAGTGTTGAGGCTTCTGCACACTCTAGGCAAATCCTTCGTCAAATGCTGTCGTGGACGGGGGACCCAGCGGTTGCTGCTGCTGTGCGGCCAAATTGAATTCGTAGTTCATTTGCTGGTCGACTGGTGGGTTGGGGAATGCGCTTGTAGACAGATTCATTAGCTCCGGTTGCGGTGGCAGTGGTTTGACGGGTTCCTGCCGTTCCTGTCGTAGCTGCTGCGGGGATTTCACATAGCTAATAGGTATTAGACCTGAGCTCTGGCCATTCGTTGAAGCCAGGGCCCAGCCTGTGTTGAGGAGGTGAAGCGTCTGTTGAATCTCACGTGGAGCCACTTGAACGTTTTGGCCGGCACGCAAACTCAACTCGCTTTCGTTGCGCGCCTGGAAATTATAAATGGCCTGCGTCTGAATGGGGGCAGTCCACTTGGCGGGATTACGAGCTGTTTGAAGAGAAGAAAAAACAAATCGAGGGCGGGATATTAATAGAAAGATAGCAAAATTGCTCGCTTATCGCACTCAGCTGGATGAGCAAAGTGCCGCAAGATAAGATTTATTAAGTGTTCAAGGTTCACAAGCCTACCTTCCTCTTGCGCCGTATTCGTCACAGTTCCCAGCAACTTCATGATTAGGTACGGCGCGGTAAAGATGAAACTGAGGAAGGCCAATACTGGCCACGGCGAGGTGCCTTTTCGCGGTAAACGTGGCGCAGTGCCAGGCTGATTACTGTTGTCGTTGAGAGCTTCAGCAAAAGCTTTCTTGAAAGCTTCCGATGAAGGATCCAAGTTCGAGATGCGTAGCCAATACAGTATTCTAAAATGGATTAAAGCCACATCATTCAGTGGAACTTTTCCTGGGTAGCTGCATGGCACTCACTTTCTGTAAATCCATTTTAGACCGCGGAATAGCGCAAACGTTGTCCAGAACTGCGCGAATACAGTGCGCAGGCGTCCGAAATTTGCGGCCACGCCAAGAATGGCACGAAACGAGCTTGTCAGCGCAAAGAAAGTTGAGTCCAGCATGGAAGCAATGTTTCCAATGGCTGAGACTAGCGATTCGATGCTTTCGAATGCGGGACGTGAACTATTTTCGGCCATTTGTATAAACCGCTGCTCGGGATCGTTGCTGTTCATGCCACCAAATCTGTTGTAGCCACCGTAGCTGCCGCCATAGCCACCGAAACCGCCCATACCATAGCCCATGCTGCCATAGCCATATCCGCCTGTACCATAGCCTCCTGCGCTGTAGCCGCCTAAGCCCATGCCGTAGCCACCCATGTTGCCATAGCCACCGCCGTATCCATATGAAGTCTGTTGCAACGGCGATTGTGGTAGGGGCGGTGGTGCTGATAGCGCTCGCACATTGCCATATGGAGTGGTCAGCATAGGGGCCTCATTAATAACAGCGCTTCGCAGGTTGTTGTTGTCACCCATGTTGCTGTAGACTGATTAACGTTTATTCGTTGAACTTTGGCCTAAAAGTTAAAGATTAAGTATTCTTACCTGTATATTAATGTGTATTAATTAATTTTTTCGATGGCTTACTAATATGCTAGCTTGTCTTCAGCGGAGAGGATACTATTTACGCAACCCAAATCAATTTAAATAATAAATACAAGAAAAACAATATATTTATCAATTACTTTTTCTTTACGTTTATTATATTATCGATTGTTGGCGATATTGATTAGCCCAATACAAGAACACCCCGCGATATGTTCATAATTATCGAGTATATTCATTCAATTAGAAGGTAGATTGAATCAACTTTAACGCATTTATTTAAAGAATAAATTAAAAGAATTGTAAAACATATATTTATAACTAGTTACCCCGCTAACATTTTCGAATAATGCATATTTTTACTTAGTGAGTATATCTAGTCGATAATATGAATATTTTTAAAAATATGGCAGCTCAGGAGTCTTATATTGAGCTGTCGAAATTATCGAATATCAACAAACTGAATGTAAATAGGTGCTATTAACGGAGGTTGGGCAATGGAATAAAATTTAAATAAAACAAGGATTCGTAACAACTAAAAAAGGCAAAGCGATTATGGCCAGCAGAACAGATTTTTGCCTACGTGAATGGGCGCCTCTTACAGAGATCATGGAGCTTATACCAACAGCTCGGCGCGGCTTTTTCCCAGCAAATCTCAATGTAACTTGCGTAGATGCCGTTGAAGATTTCCTGGCGCTAGGAAGTGACGCTGGAATTGTCTTTTGGTATAATCGTCGTTCAGGCGAAATGCAGAAACTCAAAGCTGAGGTAAGCATTTAAGTGTGGCTATGATGACTCAGAGGACACACATCGCGTGCCTGTCGCCAATTTTATGAATGTGTTGTGTTGTGTTTTTCCCCTTCTCCTGAAATCATCCGCACTGACAACTCCTATAGGTATCCACACGCATAACGTGCGTTAAGATAGTCAACTCGGTAGAGTATATGGTGGCAGCTGGAAGTGCTAATGGTCAAGTTAGCGTTTTTCAAATTCAAAAGGAGCTGCCGCCAGACCTGGACCTGGTGGCGCCCTGCACACGAACGAAACCCATCGAACGCTACACAATACGTGATTTGCATCGCTGCGTAGTTAGCTGCTGTGAGTGGTCAAAAAATGGCATGAAATTGTACTCGGGCGATCGACAGGGCGTCGTTGTGCTCACCGAATTCGACTATCAAGCGGTAAGTAACTTGAAGTTAATATTGTTTTCTATTTAATTGATTTCACTTAAATTCTCTTTCGCAGCACCTCAGCAAATCGTTGGAAATACTGAGCGAAGCCTATGAGATTGTTCAGCTGAGCGTGCATCAGAGCTATTTGCTTGTGGCGACGCTTTATCGTTGCATAGTGTGCCGCCGCGATGCCAAGACCCAGACGTGGCAAATCACCCAGGTGGGCAAGAAGGATCGTAAGCAGCTTATCGACTGTGGCGGCGTCTTCCTCAAACAAACAACAACTGCGAACGATAATTTGCCACAAATCATTTGCGGACGACCCGGACTACGTTTCTGGATTGCCGATGCCGTTGGCACTGTATCGAAAACCATTATCTTCAACGAAGCCGTCTTGAACAATCCCACCTGGGAGATACCTTTACTGAATCCTAAGCAGCGTAGTCATACGAAAACAACTTCAACACAAGCCGGCAGCAGCAGCAGCGGCTGCTGTGTTGCATTTGTTGCCAGCAAAAACTTTCGTGAACTGGATTTGTACGATGGACACGATTCCCTGGTTGTTACTCATGACGATGTTGCTTTATACATTCTGAATCTCGAACGCCTTAAAGTGGAGGCCGTGGCGCGTGGTTTTCGCAAAATCATTGACTTTTGTGTCTGTGGCAAGGAGATCTTTGTGCTCGAAGGCGAGCGTTCTCTGTTGCGCCTGGCCCCTTTTCCTGAGCCACCTAATAGAACTACTACGGTTATATTCAATCCATTGCTGCCGCCTCCACTGCCCATGGTGGGTGTCTCTCAATATTGCAAACTGGATGTGGAGTCGCCGGTGGAGCTGGAGCCAGCTTTAAATACGGCCGAGGAATGCTTTGAATTGCCGCCCATTGAAAAGCTGGACTTGAATGTGCCCATTGAGCTGGCAGTGGAGTCGCCATTGGCGCAGCAAAACCGTCGCTTGGAAATCTTTCAACGCATCGGTGAAATGGACTTTGAGCCGTCCATTTTGCACACCAGCGGCACGTTGAGTCATCGAAAGCGCAAAGTTTCGGCGGACAAGCGGAATGCAGCTGCAGGGGGAATCGTTGAGATCGGGCAGGAGACACACGAGCACAAGCTGCCCCTGACCAGTGCCGCTACACTAATGGAAGCCAGCTATTGCCAAATGGAAAAGTGAATATTGATTATTTATAAAATGAAATCTTATTTAACACATTTATTAATTGCAGCAACGGCTTGGTTTCCCCTGTGGACATGAGAGCAGCATTTATGCAGCAGCTGCCCGATGCGTTGACTCCAACCACGTTGCAGCGTACCATTGCGGAAAAGGCGAAAACGTTGGCGGCCGAGCTGGACTTGCCAGAAGTGCATCTGGCTCCTGTCAGCGCTGAGGAGCTGAAGGCGGTACAAGCACCGCAGCTGGTGAATTCACTGATCAACTGCTATCCCTCGAGACTGGAGGCGGTCAGTGTGCAGACAACTCCACGTAAGAAGCTGGACACCACCGATTACAGCGCCGGACAGCCAGTGGATGGCATTTGTGCGGGCGTGCCGAAGCCAACCTTGACATTTATAGAAACTCAGCCAAAGTCCACATCATCGAACAATGAGGAATATAACAGCTTTCTGCCAGACTTCCGACGCGCTGCTGATCCATTCATAAAGAAGGAGACGCCCGCCTCAGGTGGCTCGAACACATCCAGCGAATGGGAGTTTCTGGATAACTAAAATGTGTATTTGCAGCCCAGTATTATTTACATTCGTTTATATTAGTTGCATTCGAAGTTAGTTTCATGTTAATTTCGTTTAAGTTCTTCGTGCACAATTCTCTCTGTTATTTGTAATTTTTCGTTTGTCGAACAAGTTGTGTGCTTAAATTGTGATTTTCGTATGTTATTGTTATTAAATTATCTCAAATTGTATATAATCTTAAGGCGAAATATGTTAGTGAACTATTTTTATAATATATAAACATATATATATATATTTATTTTCTCATGAACTGCAAAGTTTTGGAATACTCTGTGAAATGCACCTTTTTTTTTCTTATCATTATAAGTAATAAAATTTGAATTATAGCACTGTTCTGTGTGTTTGTTCTAATTCTTAGTTGATTTTACCAGACTGAGACGCAGGAAATGCCAATCCACTGATAGACCTAATGTTTTGGATAGTGGCGCTGCATGACTTGGCTAAATAGAAACATGTGCATAAGGAATGTCTACTGATAGCGAACAGCGCTTGCATATGAGGGAAACGAGACGCCCCCACAAGCTAATGTTGCCTAATATCATATATTATATACATATATATAAATGATAAATATAATATGGCTATGATAGAGGCTTTGGCGCTTGAGTCGCATGAGAGATTGCTAGCTTAGCGAAATTTTGCAGCTTCACTGAGCAAATGTGATAGATGAATAAATTCTATTCCATAAGCAAGTTTTCTTATAGAGCTCAATTAATAATCTTTAATTATAATTTTAATAATGTCAATATATATATTTACATATGCAACATTTGTATTGAACAAAAATTAAGAGAGTACACTCTAATTTCTTGCCTTACTTCACCTACTTATTTTGATCTACATACATATGTATGTATGTATGTATGTACATATATTGCCTTTCTACATAACTTTGAAAAACAGATTTACCATCTTGATTACACGATAACTCGATATAAATGTGTTGCGGTAGTGGAAAAATTTCAATGGAGCTGGAGCAATATGTTGTTATGCAATATCGCGAATCCCATCCATTCCATGCACCAACAACAATAAACAAATTGAAATTTGAGCGCAGCTTGCTTTTCAATTGACTGCAATGATGGAAAGTTTTGCAGTGGGCGACATCAGCTGCGACAACTAGAAATTTCTAGGAGCAAACATTTCATAAATACAAATTTCTTAGATGCACACACACACACACACACATCGAATGAGATTGAGAAACCTTGAAAGCATCCAAATCATAACAAAAAAATTTGCATTGCAAAATTTTCCACAGCTAAACAAATGCCATTGATTGAAATTGAAATTGAAATGAAAGAAGCTGGGAGAGCTCTCGACTCGCGGAGCTTAAAGAAGATAATCAGGAAATTAGCTGCTGACTTGCTAGAATCTTTAAAGAATGCGTTGATTTGTTGATTCAGCCGCTGATGCTGTTGATGCTGCTGCTGAGGCTCAGCATTAAGCAGGCCTTAACAGGCGCATGCCAAATTATTTTAGTTTTTACCCCACAGAGCAAATTCAATTTGCTAGGCAGGAAAGTCGGGCATGTAATGTGCCAAATTAACTCAAATTTAAATAAAATAAATGGATAATACAAAAGCACACTTAAATAAGGAAAAGCAATAAAGCCAGAAGTATAAAAAATGGGCAATATTTATTATATTAATATAGTATATTATAATTTCTTTTATTAACACTAAATACAAATAAAATGGAATAAGCTCTAAATTAACGAATTATTAAATATATGAATTTCGATTGTGCCTATAAAAATACTTTTATTAAAAATATAAATTTGTGTACTAATAATTTTTTATTAATTGATTGGTAAGCATTTCCTATTAATAATAACTTTTTGTTGTTCATGAAGCTGAGTTTCGAACTCCCTTTGATGCGGCGAAACGGCAGACGTTTCCTCAGCTCAGCTTGAGACTAACTCACGCACACACACCCACACTCCGTCATTGACATGCTTCATACGCTCTCTTTAGCGGCTTTTTGACTCTCTGTGCGGGCAGCAATACCGGCAATTTGCTCTTGTCGGCTGCCATTTGCTCTTGCCAGAACAAAGAGTAACAAAAGCAACAACAAATATCAGCGCTGCTGTAAATAAAAGCGGACCGCAATACACTCTTGTGCGCATTAAGCGGCGAACTTTTGCTTTGACCAGAGCCCAGACCTAGACCTTTGACCAAAGCGGCGAAAAGTGTGAAAACTTG